TCCCTCTGTCCCGCCATCCCTCCGTCCTGCCATCCCTCCGTCCTGCCATCCCTCTGTCCCCCCGTCCCTCCCTCCCACCATCCCTCCGTCCGCCACCTCTGCCCTGTGCCCCGAGCCACGGTGCAGGCGCAGGCGGAAGCGTTGGGGGGCACGGGTGGGTGCTGCCCCCGACCCCCCCAGCTCTCCCGCAGCTCTCCTGGGAGCGCTCATCCCGGACATCCCGCTGGAGGGATGGCAGGAGGCTGTGTGTGCCCGCTCGCCGTGGCTCTGCGGGCATCTAAGAGTCTTCCCACAGATCCGTGGTGCCATGTGCTGTGGGGCAATGACTCCCACCACCCCGCTCCCGCTGCTGGCAGGGCCAGCGTGGGGTGACCTTGTGGCTGGGAATTGTCCCCGGCTTCTGGCTGCGTCTGCCCTGGGAACAGCTGACACCGTCCGGTGGCACCGCGGGCAGGCACGCACCACAGCGGCGCTGGCATCGGCCGGGGGCAGCCCCACAGCTCTCGGCACTTTCTGCCAGCACCAGGGGGGAGCCCACCCATCTATGGCTCTTGGCAGAAATCCCCACTGCCCCCGGAACAGGGGCACAGCAGCGAGACCCCCGCCTGCCCCACATCGGGCTGGACCGGCTGGAGGCTGGTGATGCTCCGTGGGGCAGACCTGGCCCAGATGGGGCTCTGCTGGGGGGGCCTGAGCCGTGCCCCCCTGGTGCTGCAGGTGGGGAGGGGGCACAGCTCTGTAGCACTTGACACTTGCAGGGGGGCCGGGGGGTGTTTGGGTGCCCCCCTTCCCCTTGGGGGCCATATGCTGCCCGTCCCCTGCCTGCCCGGTGCCTCTCCCCTCGCACATGCCCCCCAGCAGCCCTGCTCCAACCTCCTTCATCCTCCCTCCACCATGCTCCACCACACATCCCCGACCCCCCCAACCCCTCCACCCCCGAGCGCGGGGCCCCATGGCTGCCCCCCGCCGCAGCCCGCGCTGTCAGCCCCGCCGAACGAGCGAGCCATAAACAGTTCTTCACTGAGACGTTTTTCACACGCGGGGCCACATGTTAACAGTTTTTCTTTATTTACTGCCTCCATTTCCTCTTTGTTCCAGGAACTTGTCCTCCAACTTCAAGCTGCTCATGATTAGGCAAAAAAAAAAGGGCCTCTAATCTCCCCGATCTGATTTACCGTCACTGAGAGCAGGCGCTTCCCGTTACTGGCCCTGGACCTGGGAGCATGGACAGCCGAGCTCTGCCGGCTGCCGAGCCGAGCCTCTCCTCCCCAAAGCTGCCCCGCTGCCTTCCCAGCAGCTTCCTCTTCCAGTAAGCTCCGAGCAGCCCGACCGGTCACGCCGCAGGTGAAGGGCTGGGGGGAACGGCAGCCATGGGGCCCCGGACCCCACCGTGGCTGGGGCAGCTGCCCCGGGGCAGGGCAGGCTCCGGAGCCGATTCCTCTTCTCCTTCAGGAAGGGCTGGCCGGCTGGAGCATCCCTTGGCCATGGCCTCCTCAGCCGCTCGCCCGTTCGCCCCCGCTGCTGGTGGCCAGGTGGCTTTAGGGTGCCCCGTGGTGCCACCAGGCCACCTGCAACGCTGTGGAGATCACCCGTCCTGGCCGTGCTCTCTCAGTGCTGCTGCTGGAGACCCAAGGGGGCTCTGCGCTGTGCAGCCCCCCCAGCCCGGGCAGGCCTTGGGGTCCATGGCCACACAGGGGGCTCTTTCACTGGGAGGTGGCCACATCCTTCTCAGGACCTTTCAGGGTCCAGAGCCCCACGTCCTGCCAGCTCCCCCCATGGGGGCCTTTCTTCTGGGGGTCTGCACTGGGACTTGCCTCAGGGGTCCCCCTGGCTGCTGCCACCCGGTGAGCCCCCCCCCACCCCGTGGTGAGGCCAGTGCTGGGGCCGGCGGGAGGGCTGGTGGCCACGTGTGGTGCTGGCCGAGCCAAGGCTGCAGGCGTGCGGGCAGCGGGAGGGCAGCACCGGCGCCTGGCTGACGGCTCGGGGGGGGCTCAGCCAGAAGCTGGAGGGGGGGGTTCACCCCGGGGTGGGGGGCTTGCCAGGGGTTGGGCTGTGCCGTGGCTCCGGTGGCCACCCACCTGCCCATGCTGGCTAGTGACTCCCGGCCCCACCGAAAGTGGTTCCAGCGGTGCCTCCCCGGGGCTAAAATTAGCAGCGGGGGCTCAGCGGGGAGCCCGTTCCCGACGGGGAGGATCGTGTT